TATCCTCGGTGAGGTATAATCCATAGAATCCTCATTGTCGCTATCAAAGAAGGAATCAATGGTAATGGGGGTTGCTTTCTTCTTTGGTGTCTTCTTGCTGGTTCTTTCTGAAGATGCTGAAGGCGATTGATCTGCATGTAGGAATTTACATTTGCTTCCGAACGTGCAGGTGCCCTTTTGCCAATTCCAACATACCTTTTTTTTGGGTCCAGCTGAAGATGAACTTCCTCTACTCTTCCCCCTTGATGAATCTCGACTTCCGCTTCTGCCTTTCTTACCTTTCATCTTGGCATCGTAGACTTTCTGAGAATGACTGTAGAGACATTTGTCACCTTTGTTGCATCCTCCTTTATTGAAGAAGTAGTTACAGAAAATCTTCTTCTTGTCAACGGGTGAAGATGATCTTCCCTTCCCACCTTTGCCTTTCTTGTTGCTCTTGTCGGCATGAGATTTCGGAGGTGTTGGAAGTACTGATGCAGCTTCACTCTTCGCTTTCGCCTTAGGCCGTTTGGGAGGATCACCTGTAGACGACGCAGCTGCTTCATTCTCCTTCTTGGTCTTGACGGGAGCAGCAGGCTTGTCTGCATCTTCTAAGGCAGGTGTCGTCTTGTTAGAGGACAATGACAGTTTCACTGCACGTTCTCTATCCTTCAACAGTCGTTCTTGCTTTCCTCGTGCTATGTATCCTTTGATCATACCAGTTAGGTAAGCATAGGTCTTCTCAGGATGCCCTTCATCAAAGGTTTTGTATCGGTTGATATCGAAGGCCATAAGCTTTGAATGTTCAATCTTCCGGAACAATGTGTCACGCAGGGAATTGTTGGAAGGCAGATCATCATGTTTCATATTGTATACGATGTCAAGCCACTTGTTGTAGAAGGCCTCAAGTTGGTCATCTCCATAATAGTTGAACATATACAAATGATGGGCATTGTAGAGAACTTCAGTGTGGTCAGGTGACTTGAAGCTAATCAGTATCATTGCGAATAGTTCTCGTCCCTTGATGAAGTCCCCACTTCTCCCATATAATTGGTTCTTCATGGACATGTCATACTTCACTTGCATAGACTTGTCCCCAGCATTGTCAATGACTTTCCTCAAGGCATTGGAGAGCTTGGCATCAATGGATTGGAATCTCACATCAGGTGCTTTGGCCAGCGTTTCCAAGTCAGGTTGATCTGCAAGACACGGAGCTAGCCACGCTTTCCAATCTTCATAGTTTCGATCTCCACTTGCAACACATACTTCATGAACGACACTTCCCTTCCAGGATGAAAGTTCAGTGGTCTTAGGCCAGGGTTGGAGGCTGATCTTTTCGGCTTCTCTTAAAGATACGGATGACTTGGATCTATCCCTTTCAAGGTTCTCCAACTCCTTGACATTGGTGTTGTACTCGTTCCTGAGCTTCTCGAAGGCTTCAGCTTCTGCTCGGTATTCCTGCTCTTCATCATTGGCACGATCTTCAGCTTGAGAGAAATTGTTCTTGTAATAATCTTTCCGATCTTCCATCTTCTTCAACTCATCTTGAAGATTTCGAACTTCAGCGTTCTTCTCTTGCTTCATCTCGTCCAACTCTGCTTTCAGTTTGGCACACTTCTCTTCACATTCATTCCGAGGCATAGCATTACTGGGGTACCCATGTAATGTAGTCGGTCTATTCATTGATGAAGAAGAATGAGCTTGGTTTTCCAACTTCAGGGCAGCAATGGTGCTCGACATCTCTTCTACCTCAGCGAAACGCTCATTGGCCAATTGATGCATCTCAGTCAAATGGCTTTCAGGAATGGAATAGTCAGTCGCACCTTTGATCACGAGTCTTCTGTCGTTCAACATCTTGATGGACTTACCTGCATCCCTGTGAGCACGCTCAAGAGAGTCCTTTTGGGCTTCAAGTTCAGTATGAAGGCGAGCAATAGCTGTGTCCCTGTCATTGAGTTCATTGTGCAAACTGTCGAACAAGTTACTCGTCACATTCGGGTTGTTGCTCATGTGATCGATCTTGTTCAGAGCACCTTGATATTTCCTACCAGTTTCGTCGAAATTTCGCTGGAAGACTTTGAGCAGGTCCTCAGTATCAATGAGTTCAGTTCTGTTTTGCAAGTACAACTTGTCAACTTCAGCCTTGGATTCCTTCAAGCTGTCACGTTCACGCACGGCTTGCATATACATCTCGTATAGAGGTCCTCCATGCGGTGATCTGCTTGGTGAAGATCTTCTGGCTTGTTGACAGGAAAGTTCATGATACTGATTCTTCGATTCAGTCAGTTGTTGTTGCATTCGATCTAAAAGACTTTGTTTCATGTGTAGTTCAGAACGTAGTCCCATTATCCTCATGTCCCGCATGCCGCCTGATTCAGCTAGAGATTCTTCAGAAACTCTGTTCTCAGAAATCGCTAGTCGAGATTGTAAGTTCTCACTGTGGATCACCTGCAATCGAAGTTGCGATTCTTCCAAAGCTAAGTGATGTTCACATTCTGCATAACGGTCATGTTCAGATCTTATGTTACTACGGAACTCCTTCATGATCTCGTCCCTCTTCATGTCAGCAGCATCGAGCTCAGTTTCCAGTCGTCTAACGTTCATGGCCATGGTGTGCTTCATTGTCTGGTTTTGATTGGCAACCTCGAGCATCTCGATCTGTAAAGCACATGTTTGGTCATTAGCGTAGCCGACCGCTAGAGCTTCTTGCTTGGCATTCATCTCTGCGTTTTCCAGTTCCAGTCTGAGTTGATTGATGTGAGCATTCGCATCAGCGCCCACATGTACCATGATTGCGCTCGCTTGTCCCATTTGTTCATCGAATTCCGAACGTAGTCGTGAATATTTGAATTCCAAATGAGATGCAGCTTCATTCGACATAGTCTGATACCTTTCCAACTCTTCGATCCTGTAGGTCGCACCTTCATCTTCTTGTTGTGCAGCCTGTAACTCGAAGTTCAGCATCTGGAGTTGTTCGGTCATCGACATCATCTCTTGATGAGTGGTGCTTTCCAGGAAATTAAATTGTTGATAGGCATATGCTGTCGTCTCAGTCAATCTTGCCTGAAGTACGGATTCCTCTTCAGTGGCCTTTTCCAGTGATGTCTTGTATTCAGTTAGTTCACTCTGGTAGGCAGTGAAGATGTCGCTACCACTTGACGGGGCGTTCACTTGCTGATAAGATCCTGTCCCTGATGGAGTAGCGTCCTGAATCGGTGAAGGCGGATTCGACGACGTAGTCTTCGCCTTAGTCCTTGGAGTCATCGGAGGCGACAATTGTCGTGCAGATGATCTTCTCTTTCCAGGTGTGCTGTCCCTATCTTCAATTGCTTGCATTGTCGAAATTTGTCTCCCTCTAGGAGCAACCAGAGGTCGCCTGGGTTGGCTCGTTCTCAGTTCTGAGGCATCGCTTCCACCAGTGTCGATACTCTGTGAAGAATTTGACTGCGTGCCGGCAGCTGGTGCAACGGCATGTCCAGAGAAAGAAAATGCATTATCGCTGCTATCCTGTTCAGTCATCTGTAAGGCCCGCGGCTACCCGCTCGTAGGCTCCGTAGGAGTCCTACGGCTGATAACCTGCGAATCGGGGATTGTTTGTCCGATTATGTTCTGGTAGTTGGATTTGAAGTAAATGCTTCGATGATGACGTTACACGGGCAGCAGCTTCCGCATGGCAGTTCTTTGCTCTGTTGCTGCAGTGGGTCTTGAGCCAAAAGGGCGATTGTCATACCCTTTGGCTGTGGGTCTTAGAGTGATGAATTATGTGATATTGTACATTGGTCCGTAGCTTACACTCTATTCGCAGATATATATATATATATGGATATATCAATGGATATATATATATATATGGATATAATATATATATATATATGGATATATATATATATGTGGATATATATAGATATATCAATGGATATCAATGGATATATATGGTATATGGATATATATATATAGATATATCAATGGATATCAATGGATATATATTGATACATATATATATAGATATCAATGGATATATATGGATATATATGGATATATATATGGATATATATATATGGATATATATGGATATATATGGATATATATGGATATATATGGATATATATATATATGGATATATATATAATATAATAATATAATAATATATGGAGCTGTCCTAGAATGGGGGATCCACAAGTCACAAAATAGCTAAACCAAGGTCATCCATGAAACAACGTCCTGAGATTCTGACCCATGTCGCGACGTTGCGTCACGCGACAGACGCTGACGCGGAAAATCACTGGGATTTCGAATGGGTACAATTGGAAACGACCGGGGAAATTCACTTGACATAGAATTACATGAATGTTTTGACACTTCTGTCCTCTTCTGTCCATGTCAATGTAAGATTATCATATAAATTATCTTTACATCTCTTTCCTCGTCTTCAATCATTTCCAACTTGACAGCATGGTCGATGATGGCAAATGATGGTAGATCATCATGGGCCAAAGATTTTGTCTCATCCATGCCTTCACGTTTTTGCACAGAAATCCTGCACTTGAAGAAGTCGTGTTGTTCGTTTGGACCCAAACGCAGCTTGGAGTCATGATGGAGGGTCCATGGCAGAGGCGCTGCCTGAAACATCCTGAAACTGGCTTGAGATTGATGAGATTGATGACACCTTATTTCAACAATTGGCTCCGGAAAAGGGACATCAATTCACAAGGAGGGCACGTTTAAAAAAAAAAAAAAAACATGAAAACATCAACACAACCTCGGCAATCGACCCCTCGAGATTTCTGCGATGATCCGATGCTCAGCAAACGTATGCTGCTGAACAAAAGGATCTAAGACATTCTAGCACTACACTGTGCGATGAAGAAAATCATGATCTTCTTACGGCCATTTCATCACGATGACTCGCATCGCGCAGCACCGTAAACAAACCACTGGAATCCACTAGATAGATTTGTTAAATTGAAATGCCATTTATATTCTGTAACCTTCTATGACCACAGAGACCACATATTTATGACCACTGGATAGATTTCAAGAACATCGAAATCACACGTCGAAGCTCTCCATCGCCACTGAATTTCCTCATTCGAAGTCTGGCTGGGACGCCTCGAATCACCAAGTCAAGAGCTGTGCTATGGTGGCTATGGTGGAAATCATTCATTTCCTGTCAGTCAATGGGGATATGTATGGATAATTGTGGATAATTGGATATGTATGGATTCTGTCATTGCCTCGTGAAATCACACAATGCCACGTGTTACAATGTTACACTGTAACCGATTTAACATGGAACCGTCTGTGAAAGAGGGGTGCCTACATCCTCATCTTCGGCTTCGGTGCATCTGCTGGTCACTACCCCCTTAAGGTGTTCCTAAGACCCAGTTGTTGAGGTTCTTTGATGTTTAGCTATATATATATTACCCACTTTTGTTGGTCAAATCCACGAATGGAGATCTGGCAAAAAAAATAGGCTAACCCAAAATTCTCCAATTTTTTATGGGCGATGATCATATTTTTCACCATGAAAACTGCCATTTTTGGGGCACGGTCTCCGCCTTTGGCTCCTTTGGACGTAGACCTCCAGCCACATCAGCGCCTGGCGATGTGGAAAGAAAGCTCAAAGGCTGCTAGAGTTACCGACCTGTAACATATCTGGGTAAATTATAATAATTCACTAACCTGAATTAAGGCCATTTGGGGATGATTTCCCTTACTAACCATGATTTCCAGTGAGGTCGTAGTGAGGCCGTTATAATTTACTCAGACATCTGATTGTTGGTTCTTTGGGGGAAAAACATGAAGCATTTGTTTAATTTATATATTTATTGTAGTTCATTGTAGTTCTATATCAGAATCGAACAGTTTCTGTTCAAGAGAATTTGCACCACCCAGACTCCAAAGGTCACAACGTCCGCAAATCCAAAGCACTTTCTGACTCAACTATATATATATATATTATATATATAGGTATAAATGATTATACATGTAATTACTATAAAATCAACTAAAAACCAACACCAATCGAAATCATCGACCACACCGGCCGTTTCTTCAGAATTGATGACTCCAACTTCGCCCACTTCGGCGACATCTGACGACAAAAACGGCTCCTTTGGGCTCGTTCAACTCGCGGCCCTGGCAGATCAGCTACTGTTCCGACCGGGCATGGGTCAAAATTGGGTAGCCCAAGAAACATATAAATCATTATAGATCATTATAGATCCATAGCTGATCAGTTATGGATCTATATGTTTATGATTGGCTAGAAAAAAATACACCTTCAGTCACTTACAGTCACTCAAAGATCTTCAAAGAATTGGAAAGGCAGGGCTTCACCTCCCTGGGCCCTTGGATATCCTTGGGTCCCCCATGAGTAGCCTGCCCCTCTGATGAAACCCTGCCGGAAATTCGTGTTGGTTGGTTTCACCCTCTGGCAATCTATCATAGCTATGGAAAAATATGGAAAATGAATGAAAATGACCCATTGATTGAAGGGTATTGAAGATTTGCCCAGTAAAAACACACCAAAGGCTAGACATCCCATTCATATCCCATTGAATCACCATGTTTCATGGTGAAATCACCATTTTCCAAGTAGATTCCCATGAAAAAAACACCATATCACCACTTTGCACTTCCCACGCCTCAGTCGACCTGGCGCTGTGCTGGGCGGTTTTATCTTGGCTCGATGTGGGGATTGGTCAACATGGCATTTATATATATATGTCTAATATTATATATATAATAAATGTATATATATACATATTACATAATTAATATATATATACGCATATATATACTGTATACTATAGATACTAGAAATGACTATAGAGCAGATACGAGACCATTGGAACAAGATGAACATCCATGCAACAAGAAAAACTATTGAAATTACACTATATTTTTCCGTGATTTTAAACGGATCTATCCGGGCAAATTGGAAAAAATGGCGAACAAGTCTCATTGAAATGAACATACGTTTGAACAATCCATATTCTACTTCAGGATTACACGTATGTGGCATGGCAAATAAGATCCCTGTCCTGTCACCCAGATTGATCTGGGTTGGGACTATGGCATAATTACCAAGAGTTGCCAGTTTATCTGTTGTTTATTTTAATGACGACCCACCACCAACTTAGGGAAAAACAATTTGACTATGGTAAATCGATTATATCAATCATAAACCTCAATTTGTTGATGGTTAAACCACCAGTTGTAGTGGTCAAATCCTTATTTGCTTCTCAGCAGGGCCTGCTGGGTGATCGCCAGCTCTTGTAAAGCCACTGATCCTAGCACGAAACCGAAATCTCCCTTGGGGATCTGCCAAGGGTTCAGCGTAAAATCCTTGGGATATGCCACAACATACACCAGTTACACCAATGATTCAATGCATTGGTTTTGGTGGGAAACCTCCAGGAAACATCAGGTTTTGATCCAGAAATGGTAGAGTTTCCTGCACATGTTCACATTATCCAGTTCCGGGAATGTTTGGTTGGTGGATTCTAAAGTATTAAGTGGATAATTCACGCATCTTGTCTCTTGGGGACTTAAACATGAGCGAATAGGCATAGAAAATGCACAAACATACTATGGATTGGTTGTAACTACTGATTCCAAGGCTTGTCAAAAGGATTCTAAATCAAAACACATGATAAACATAAATAGCGTATATAGGCGTATATAAGATGTAAATATTTGTGTGTAGTGTGAATATATATATATATATACTCTCTCTCTCTCTACAAATATATGCGGCAACAATATATTTTACACTATGTATATAATATATGCACATACCTTCCATACTGTAATATTACGATTCGCCCACACCCCTTCTATGCTGTACACTTGGGGATATCAAGCGTTAGACTTTACATTCAATTGGGAAGATCAACAAGGGTATTTAGGGAATATAAATTTCCCACCCCCGTTGAACTTTTACATTCATTGAAGATCTTCAATAAGGGTTTATTTCTCCCACCGTGTTAAACTTCTACATTCATTGAAGATCTTCAATAAGGGTTTAATTCTCCCACCCCCGTTAAACTTCTACATTCATTGAATCAATAAGGGTTTAATCCTCCCACCCCCGTTAAACTTCTACATTCATTGAAGATCTTCAATAAGGGTTTAGTTCTCCCACCCCCGTTAAACTTCTACATTCATTGAAGATCTTCAATAAGGGTTTAATTCTCCCACCCCCCGTTAAACTTCTACATTCATTGAAGATCTTCAATAAGGGTTTATTTCTCCCACCCCCGTTAAACTTCTACATTCATTGAAGATCTTCAATAAGGGTTTATTTCTCCCACCCCCGTTAAACTTCTACATTCATTGAAGATCTTCAATAAGGGTTTGATGATGATGATGATGATGATGATGTGGATGCGTAAGAGACCCGCACAGGTCCCTATGCTGTGCGTGCCGATATACAACATGAAGTTAGCCATGGTGCAAACAAAACTCCCATTTTTACCACGTGTTCAGCACATACGAAGATGGCCGCCGACAAGCGCGGGCAAATCGAGGTGTTTGCCCGTAATATTACTATAAATATATATATATATATACACACACTAAATAAAACACAATATATATATACACCTTAAGAAAAATACACATATATATAATTATATATATACATACATACTATATACATCGTAACAATTACATCACAAATAAATAAATAAACAAATGAATGCACAATGATATATATATATTATAAACAATAAATAACAGACATATACAATACATGTTCATTATGACCCTTCTAGCCTGGTAGTACAGTCCCATGCAACAATCGTCACAGTATGGGTCACTGTCCTGCGAAGCTGATCTGGACAGAGGTAATATCTCCTGGCCATCGCTAGGATCAGAGCGCTTCCCACCACCAGAATTCGGATTGAACGTTCAAAAATGGTGATTGAATGGGATTAGCACGGGGTGGTGATTGATGGCATATAACCATTTATAACCAACCAACATCAACCAACTATATACAATCAAACCCACCCCTCCAACCTGAAATATACCCCAGTTCTCCGTGGAATGGGTGTGTTAAAAAAAAATGTGGGGGATGGGACTACTGGATCAACAGCACCTGCACACATGTTGGATCCTTTTTGGTTTATCCAGCAAATTTGTTTTTTTTAGCGACAAACTGCATGGATATCGGATATCCAATGTTATAATATAACAATATATAACATATACCCTCTGTTCAAAGACAAAAAACAACATTGCAACGGACATCACCACGTTTTATAACATCGTGAGGTTGGATTGCCAGAGGTATTTTATTATGGTTGCTAGACAGCTTCAGGTCGATGTTGCACATATCACCACATTTGTTGCTCATAATATCCAGTATTTTCTGCATTGCTGCATTCCAGTATTTATTAGAAATGATCCAAGGGTCCTTGCTTCCATTTTCATGATGATAAAACACAATCTCTGCAATCTCTGCCCTAGATGTTGTATGATGCTGTCAATTGTGCACTGCCATTTTCATAAATCATCATAAATCCATAGATCCCTCCAGTTTGTGATATCCTTGTCTTTGGTTATACCCTCCACTCACATAGCTATGGCAGCTACGGAAATCCATGGGTGTCCCGATCCACATCGGATCCCATCGGCGCGGCCTTGCTAGCACTAACGAAGAGTGGCCTGTCGCAAAACAAGGCTCCCGTACGCTCTGCATGGGGTACTCTTTTAGGGTACTCTTTATGGGCACCAAAATTAAACCAATGGAGCCGCTTAAAATGGTGAATTACTGGGCGGTGATCCAAAGCGGTTGAAGGTGTTCTCCCAAAGTGGATACCGCAAACACAACAGCAGCACTCACAGTCAAGGCCACCCATGGCCAGCCGTTCGCCTTCTCAAGTAGTCATCACCAGCTGTAAGGTCCCTGGCCCAACAGCTTTGATTGAATAATCATCAGGTGCTGGGACTGTCTCATGTGATGTTCATACATTTATCTGGCGGGTGGTTGAAACATGTTGAAACACCCTGAAAAATATGCTGGTGATACAAAGCCATCATTCCATTTTCACGGTTGAACATAACCATCGGCGGGTTGGTTAATGGAAACATTTACAGGAAACAGTGGACCTTGTCTGCACCCCAGCAGCCAATTCTACCCATATTATTTGAACCCATCAACCAATCATAGCTATCATTCTTGGGTGCCCCGCTCCGAGAAAAAAAAGGCCGGCCAGCTACCAGGTTGCACGTGGATCGTTCCATGCTTGGATGTTCACCCCGATTGATTAACAAATGATTCAGAAAGAAACAACACATCATAAGCATTCAAAACCCACTCATATATTAATTGTGCGAATAATTAAATATATAACTATATAATTATATAATATGATATAATCATAACAACCCTGTGTCAGTTCACCGGGTCAGGTTGGGGCCTGTGATTGTCTACTAGAAAATGAATGTTGTATAAATTAGGGACCCAAGAAAATCTAGCTACAGACATCAATTTGAGGTACCCTAGAAAAATGGCAACCCCCAAGAAGTGCATTTTCGAAGCTATGGATAGTATTTTTTCTTAGAAAAACATCACCCTGCTTGAATTGCATAATGTTGAAATTACGAAATCACATTTTTTGAAAACAACTTCCGGGGAATGGTTCCATTTTTCTAGAGGAACCTGCATTGGGCATATCTTTGCAGGCACTTAGGCTGTCCAAAAAAATGGTTTTAAGCATGTTTAAACAAAACAAAATGACCTACCAGTGCCCCTCTAGAAAATCAGGGACCACTAGAAAATCTAGGAACGTCCTCCCAGAGATGCTAAAATTATGCTCCTGGATTTTGGGCACTTAAGCTACCCAGAAAATCAGGGTCTCCCGACTCAGAGGTCTCCAAAAGTTGTTCTGTAGAAAATGAGGGGGTTGATAAAAGCAGCCTTTCATAAAAATCGAAGAATCTTCGCGCCAGAAAATCAGTCCTTCTTAGGGGGGTTGACCCCCCTGAAATCCTAGAGGAAATTCACACGGTATATCATAACCATATGAATATCGTATGTATATATCAGCTGGTATGGATGGAATATGATGGAATGATCCCACTTATGTACGAACTGTGCCACCCAGGATCAACCGCTGGGTCGAAGGCGTGGATGGATGCTCGCTGGGAACCTCCTTCAGCCTGGAAGAGTCAGCCGGGTTTCCCCAGGAAACCCAGGGTTAGCCATGGGTTTTTGACCCCGTAGCCGGATACCCAGCCGGATACCCATGGGATTCAAATTGGTGAACTCCGCACATCGTCCTGGGAATGACTTCTCGAGTGCTCAGCATCACCTGGGAGCGTGGCACTGACGCGGCCAGAGAGCTCGATCTCGATCTCTGTGAGCGCTGTGAAGAGCACTTTCCAGTCCTGGGTGGCAGTCTACCTCCACACGCTCCATGAAAATAGAAGGCCAAATACACAGAAAATCAAAGATGTGTGTCTTGTATAGTATATATTGATTTGTTGTTATTGTGTTTTTAAGTTACCGCGATTTTTTTTTTTAAATAAAGCACTCACTTAGACAAACAAAACTATCTCAGACTCGGATCACTATTCCTACAATTGTCTGAACTATGCATCATGCGGTTTACTACCGGTTTACTGTGGAGAAAAAAATAAGTCCGCAGTAGAATATGTACAAAAACATACAAAAACCAACATGTCACCAAGAACTGAGCAGCCCACTGGGCGCCAAAGTCGCTGGATACCAGCTCCTCAACGGCGTCGTTGTTTAAAGATACAGGTGGTGGGTAGTATCAGCATCACATGATGAGTGGATAGCATACCCATATCATCTTGTACAAGTATGTACAATAAGTAGTGTAAAGTGCAGTACATCATGGCAAAGGTACCAACAAAATCCAACAAATACAAAGTAATCAAATTAAATAGTCTGGCAAATACCCGTTCTGTTGATGGTTTCAGCCACTTCCCTAAAATGAAAGTCAAATGGGATCATCAATAAAATTTAGGGAAAAACACAAGCTGATGGCTAATTCTACAACCAAACATCATGTGCCAAGTGCCGGTTCTCAACTTCCGTGGCCGGCCGGTTGTGGCCATTTCAACTACCCAGAGATTTGTCCAAAATGGCAGTGGAAAATCCCATGGAAAATTGGCAATGTCTTACTGAGGCCCCGGGGCTTTTGAATCGTTTCGTTCAGAAATAAGGAAAGAGTAGCTCATCCAATAGTTTGCTGGTTTATCAATGTTTATCATGTATATATAATATGTGTATATATTATTATATATTATACATATCACCATGTTTGAATGGTCGTAAAGTGAAGGTACAAGGCCCATTCCTGGACAAACTGTTATTCTGTAACTGAGCCTGACCATTGTTTGTACACAGTGGCTGAATGCTGAAATCCCTAGTCAAAATATGTCAAAATATCATATCTGTTTTTAGATGAAATTTCCACTCAAACCCAACATGGAGACCCATCCCAGCTATACCGGGCTATACCCATACCGCCCATACCTGCGCAGACTTTCTCAGCAAGTCGCTTGGCCTAGGATGGTCTCGAAGGAAAATCAGGGACTTGGACTCTGGACTGTGTATTTACCTGTATGTTCTAGTTCTTGAGAGGACTTGTGACCCATGTGCGGTGATGAATGATACACATGCTTATTGAGCGATTTGGGTAGTTCTGATATGTTGGGTCACATGCTGCTCGTTACCTACCAAGCTTTTCCTTGCATCGAGATACAAACAAACTTCAATGAATCACATATGAAAAATACTCCGTTGAAACCTTCCAGCAACAAACGTGATTGTAGGGAGGGATAGAATGGGATGGATATACTTTAAAAAATCACACCATCAGCCACTCATACTGTCCGTGTACCCAAAAAGCAATATACCACTCACAAATATTATATATATAACAATAATAATAATAAAACATAATAATAATTAATAATATTAATATATATAATTATATATATACACATACATACACATACACATATCTTAACATGCCAGGGGCATCCAGGGGCCAGATTCCGATTAAACAATTGCTGAACCCCAATCGGAGGGCAACAATATATATCATGCAAACGTGTCCAATACATTAAACATTGGTTTGTCCAAAGAAATGGAGTACTCCCAAAACCACTGCTCTATCTGCTCTAGCATCATAATCTTAATCAATATTAATCATAATTCTTGGATATTGCTGGGACATGCGCAATTTTATGCAATTTTCAGACTCGCCCAAGATGAGGCTCCGGACCGCCTGCGCGGGGACTCCGACTTGGAAGTTTCGGCGAGCAACGCCTGCCACTTGTCGGCTCAGCTAGTCCCACAGCGATACCCTCCGGTAATCAAAAGTGGCAACGGAAAACCCACCATTTATAGACGATGTTCACATTAAATCATTAAAACCTTCATGTATCAAAGGGAGTTTAGAAGACTAAATTCTCTTTTACGGGTTTTTAAAAAGTGGAAAACGTTAGTCACCATAATCACCACATCACCAACATCACCACATCACCACGTCACCACATCACCACATCACCACATCACCACATCACCACGTCACCACGTCACCACATCACAACATCACAACATCACCACATCACATCCCCATGTCCCCACGTCCTCACATCACCTCATCTCACACATCACCCCATCACATCCCATCACCACATCACCAGCTGCTTCATCAACTTGCAAAGCAGTCACTGCAGATCGCAATGGGATCGCTTCGTCAAGCTGACGTTGATGAGGGTGGAAACGCACAAAACCCTATGCTTTCTCGCACAAAGTGCTTCCTGGTGTCGTTGTGGGGAACCTTGTTTGTGCGACGGGTGCGGCTTTGCGAAGGGATCGGACGCATCCTACACCTTACAGTTGATTTGAATAAAGTCAATGAGATGATTCAATGCGCTGTACCATTGTGTTTGGCGATCCAGGTCCGCAGTTTGCATTGGAATGGCTGCATCAATGTTTGTGAGTTTGTGATGGCAATCTCGGTATTCCTTTTAAAAAAGTGCTTCAAAATTGTCTTTTTATTTGCTTTGGTGCCGGGATCCGGTTTTGGAGCTGCAATTTCTGTTGCTGTTGCGCGGAGGTCGAAGGTGCTTTGCAACCCGTCTCTGCAGATCACAGCGGAGTGGCTGCATCAATGCTTCTTGCTGGCGTGGCTGCGTGCGTAATACTAACTAGTGTCTTTTGCAGCTGAGCGTCGTAAATCGAGCTAGAGTGGCTGCATCAAGGCTGTGATAATGATTATGCAGTATTTGCTAGTTATTTTCCCCTGGAAATTCCTTGTAAAAAGAGTTTCAAAACCATCCTTTTTGTTGCTTTGGTGCCGAGATTCGGTTTTAAGCTTGCTGTGTAAAAGCTTCTCTCTGTGCAAAAGCTTGCTGTGTAAAAGCTTGCTGTGTGTAAGAGCTTGTTGTGAAATCTTGCTGTGTGAAATCTTGCTGTGTGTAAAAGCTTCTTTGTGTAAAAGCTTCTCTGTGTAAAAGGTACTGTGTGTAAAAGCTTCTGTGTGTAAAAACTTCTGTGTAAACGCTTCACTTCTCTGTGTGTAAAACTTTTCTGGTAAAAGTTCTGTGCGTAAAAGCTTCTCTGTGTAAAAGTTTCTTTGTGTAAAAATGTGTGAAAAAGCTTCTCTGTTTAAACAGCTATGACAAGAGTAGAAAAGAATAGAGTAGGAAAAGGAAGAGTGTAGGACAAGAAGTTTGTCAGGAGAGCTATCAACAGGAAGGGCTGTCAAGATTCAGAGATGTCAAGGGCAAACCAGATCAAGAGAAAGTGGCAACATCAGAAAAGGGTGTCGAGAGAAAAGAAATGTCAAGCAGAAAGAGTTCCAAGAACTGATGCAGTGAACCACGGTGACAACCGGGCGGTATGGCGTCGTTCCTATAGGCTCTCCCTTTTCTTTATAGCCTTCCCCCTTGGAAACTTTGGCTTGGCTGCGCTCTACTGGACAATTTATAGGGGGTTTCCGATTGCCATCTTTCATTACCAGCGGGTACATGTAGAAAGACAGCGTGTTCTAATACAGCATAATACAGTTTGATCCCAGTCAAACAGTATATCAATCAATTCCGAATATAACCACCCTTTCCAGGCTGTTTCGGGATTCACTTTCTGGCATCCCTGGTGAGATTTGTTAAGCATTTCTTCCAACCCTTTACGCGGCTGAAACAGACTTCGTTTCACGGCTGATACAGGATACCCCAGAAACAGGGTTGCTCCCCATACCGCAAGTACAAGAAACTGGGTAGATAAAGAGCTAAAATGACAAATTTCCCCTCCTTGTGGATATATTTTTCCTACAATAGGTTGGAGCAAGCCTGACAAAAGAAAACATCTTGTCTGATGGGATAGCACGATACATACTACATCGTAATTCCCCCGTTGTACACTGTAATGACTGTATAATGGCTAAACATGGGTTTGTCTGAAAATAGATTATCCGTTATCCCATTCCATCCACTGATGATTAGTCATCAACTTAATTTGAAATACTCGTAACTTGGGGGTACGAGTAGATACATCACATGTTCTGTCACTCTTCATTCGAGTGATTATAGTTTTATAATGTTTTAAAGTGTTTTATATAACCCATGGGATCCATGTATGGTATATATGCTAACATTGGGGGTATATTAATGGTAAATGTTACCATATATAGCAGCATACATGGATCCTATGGGTATATTATGTCCACATTAAATTGTTGGTTACGTCCCCCCAAAAAATATCCCTGCGAAGGCTGCCAGAGTTCCAACGTTCCACCTCTAACTTTGCCAGCGACGAAAACTCTGTGCTTTCCATGCGTGGAGCTGGCGATTTTCTAGGCCTTGGGTAGAACCGGGGGGTACGGTTTGTTTTTCATGGGACCTCTCCTCTCTTGGGATCATCCTGTTGATTATTCTTGCTTGCTTACATTTGTTGACCTTCTATACCTGTTACATCTACTAAGTATGGATGGTAAGATGCGAACTCTATGCTATTCAAAGAATCACTGTTTATTGATCTCATCTACCTATTGGTTGTTCTTTCTAGAACCCTCTATCAAGCCACTGGGAAAAGAACTTTCCCAGTCCCGCTCCTGGACCCTATTCCATGGTCCAGTTATGTGTCGAGCACCGTCTAAACCATTGTTTCCTAGGGGATGTTTAAGCCTAGGGGGAAGGGATTCGTGTGGTACATCATATTTTTTTCCAGTTATATAAAGTGGGCAATCTATGCAACATGAATTGGCCAGTGGATAGAATGGGGTTTTCATGGAACCACTAAAATACATCATAGGTTCTATCAATGTTGTACCATCTCAATAGAGGTTTGATAAACATTTGGGTATACCCAGGTCCGCGATGATCTAACATGACCCCTCGTCATAGATCACGGTAAATGGTTCATGCTAAACATATCAATTCATCATTGATGGTTAACAGAAACCATCGATTTTTTTAAATGAAAACCGGAAACCCCTACTTTTAATAACCATGACCATAACCATGAATAATCTCATAACCATGGGCTAGAACAATGGTGTATTGCGCAAGGCCTTTTAGACGCAGCGACGCCTTCCGGGTCTCATGGCAGACCCCAAATATCCGGATTTTGCGTGATGAACAAAAATGCCACCAATGCCACCGCTTCGCCGTGTCAAGCATCTTTGGGCTAGGAGCAAATAATACATATATATAATAAACAAATAACATATATATAATATTATATATATAATTATAATTATAATTATAATTATATATATATATATATAAATTGTATACTTTGAAACACATTTCAAAGCTAATTGAAGAAAATCAGACTGATGGTTTCCCAATGCCATCTATTGTGAGATCCCCATAAATTCCCCAAACCTTAGACGCTATGCATTTCCTGGCTGTATTAAAAAGTGTTCCCCCGTTCATTGATGGTTTATCATCAACCAAATTAACTATCGTTTTCCCTATTTTTCATAACCATGCCAACAATAGGATTTAATTGGCCCCCATCCCCCCATTTCAGGACACACCCATTTCAGGATTTCTCTGAAAATCCCTCGGACAAAGCCTGTATGACCGAGTGACTGCGGTCTGGGAGACTCATCTGTGGAGCTTCTGGCCAACAGAGCCTCGCTACAGAAAGGAATGGGGAGATAATTCTACTCATGATTTTCTTTTTGAATGACATTGAATGACACTGAATGACAATGAATGTCATCTATGACAGTCAATGTCATCTATGATCATCTATGATCATCCATGATCATCTATGTCATTTCATGTTAATTGTATCTGGATTTCCCAGAATCTCGATCATTCAAAGAATTTTTTCACGGCTTCAGAAGTCCAGCACGTCGAGCCATTCGAAAAATCGACCCGCAGATGCCACCTCCAACTTCGCCAAGGAGGTAAACTCTGCGCGAGTTTCCGGAGCTGATGCTTCGCTGGGAGGCCTCACGAGCCGAGCTTTTCGGGGGTTCTCAGTTGATCCCCTGCAGACTATGGAAATAACTCCAGCAGATCCCCCCTGACTGCCCATTGGTGGTGCTTGAAAGCACAATTCTGAAACTTAAAATCCGAGTGCTTTGTGGTGAAAAATAATCCTCCACTAAGTTATGCCTTAGTCCTGCTTAATGTCCCATATTGTCCCATGTTCCTTGACTTGCTTCAGCCAGTCATAATTCACCTCCTATGTTTGTTGACAATTGACAAACATAAAATCCATTAAATGGTCAATCTCCACAGCTTCATTGGGTTGCACGCTGCCATCTACCACATTCTGACACTCCTTCCCCTGAGCTTTAGACTCATTGTCCTCCCTTGCCTCGAGACGACTTCTTGACGACTCCTCCTGGCAAGATTTCGGGGTTGAAGCAGCCTAAACATGCCTAAAGGCAATTAAAGAATGATATTGTCAAAAAAAAATGCATTTTAAATACATGCAATACATTTTAAATACATGCAATACATTTTAAATACATGATATATATATAATTATATATATAATTATAATATACACACATGTACGGATATGCAAGAACAATGATAAGAACAATGATGCAACAAAACGTGAAAACCATAGAGAAAAGCAAACAAACAGGCAACACCATGGGCCTCGGGGTCAGGTGTCCGCGGTTTGCTGGGCAGCAAAGTCACCTCCACCGGTGGCATCGCTGACACCACGCCATCCACCTGGCCGCCAGCCAGGACCAAGGTCATCTCTACAAGCAGTCGGCACAGATCACCTTCTCTTTGAGACGAAGCCGGGCTTCTGCCATGAGGCTTTCGAAGTCTTTGGGCGGATCCTGGAAGGGTTTGAACAAGAGATGTTCATACTTTCCAACATGTGTGGGCAGAATTTATGAAAGTCTCAATCTGGGCTATTGCGTGCAGAATTAGGGAGGCATTGCTTTTGCAATGTTGGCACAGATTTTTTTTTTCAGCGTGCAATCTGAATAGAAAACTGAGAAACACACAGCGCAATGACGATCTTGTCTGCTATACTTCACGGGCAAACCTCGGTGGCTGAGCGAGCTCTTAATCTAAAACAGATTTGTCAAGAACACTAGAACACAAGTGTTCACTTGATCCAAAATCCAAAACGACACCAAACTACAGCTTGTAGACCATGGCGAATCCACAAGGGCCTTTCTCTATTTCATACAATCTTGTTTCCTAGACAGTTCCTCCCCCAAAGTCAAGAATAGCAAGAGGGTAATATTCACCACTTCAAAAGTTGCAAATGGATACATATGGTATAAGACCCACCCAAGTGGAATGTCCATGCATGTATTCGGCGGATCATCCCACTTTGTAGCTGGTCAGTTGCCATAGCTGATCGATGAATACAAAAACCCAGTTCGGGCATTCAAGAAGTGATATCACTCTTGAATACTCTAGACTCATCTCATTTTTTTTACACCCAATACCCTACAAGGGGGAAAACGGATAAAGAGATAGAATTTTTTCTTGCCTCCCATGTGGCCATCATTTACCACCGGTGACCAGCCCAAGCCAAGTGACATTTCAAGGGGCTGGAGCTTCGGTCCCGTTGCGACGCCTGTCGCATGCGAAGGCGAAGGCGGGATGTTCATCCTGCAACACTGTTTATATATGCCCACTATCGTCTTTATGTATGTAAATATATTAATGACATATATGAATCTGAAAATACACGGCATGACATTATACGTATAAGTATAATTATATATCCGCCGACCCCGGCAGACGCAAGGGGGAGTGCGTAAGGGAAAAAGAGTTTATGACACAGCTGCCAGGAAAGAATAATAATAATTCGCTGACCCCGGCCGATGCAAGGGGGAGCGCGTAAGGGAAGAAGAGGTGCTGCACTGCTACTTTTACTACCAGGCAGCAGCAGGCAGCAGCAGGCAGCAGGCAGCAGGTAGCAGCCAGCAGCAGCCAGCAGCAGCCCGCACCAGCCAGCAGCAGCCAGCAGCAGGCAGCAGTAGGTGTTTGGCAGGCAGCATCCGGCAGCAGCAACCAGCAGCAGCTGGCGTTAGGCAGCCAGCAGCAGCCAGCAGCAGCTAGCAGCAGCCAGCAACAGCCAGCAGCAGGCAGGAGCAGGCAGCAGCCAGCAGCAGGCAGGAGCAGCAGGTAGCAGCAGGCAGCCAGCAGCAGGCAGCAGTAGGTGTCTGGCAGGCAGCATCCGGCAGCAGCAACCAGCAGCAGCCGGCGTTAGGCAGCCAGCAGCAGCCAGCAGCAGCCAGCAGCAGCCAGCAGCAGCCAGCAACAGCCAGCAGCAGGCAGGAGCAGGCAGCAGCCAGCAGCAGGCAGGAGCAGCAGGATTCTATTTTAATTTTATTTTATGGCAGCAACAGCAGAGCAAAGCAACAGCAAGCAACAACAACAACAACAACAACAACAACATTCTTGCAGCCATGGAACCAATAACACAAAGCTGCAGCAGCAGCAGCAGCAGTTGTTTCTTGCTTTGGAAGCTGTTTGATTGCAGCAGCACGACAGCAGCACCACAGCAGCAGCAGCCACCAGCAGCAGCACCAGCAGCAGGCAGCAGGCACTAATGGGTGTCAAGAACGTGGGCAAGAGCACGCAAAAGGTGCACATAGCCAGTAGCTAGCAGCCAGCGCCAGTAGCAGCCACAGCAGCCTACCAAAAATCTAGATTTTTCTAGGATTTCAGACGACACGTTAGGCACTTTTTTGGCGTGGTTCTGGCACTCGCTCGTCCTTCAGAGCCCTGGTGTTTTCCCCCCGGGAGGTGATTTTTTCGAACCTGTTTTACTGCTAGCAGCCACCAGCAACAGAATCTGTCGAAAAATTGTGTTTTTCTAGGATGTCAGACGACACGTTAGGCACTTCTATATATCTTGTATATATGTCTATAGGGTTTCAGACGTCACGTTTGGCAATTTTCTCATTTATATGGCACCAATGGGTGTCAAGAACATGGGCAAGAGCACGCAAAAAGGCAGCAGCAGCAGCAGCAGCAGAAGTAGCAGCAGCAGCAGCAGTTGTTTCTTGCTTTGGAAGCTGTTTGATTGCAGCAGCACGACAGCAGCACCACAGCAGCAGCAGCCACCAGCAGCAGCACCAGCAGCAGGCAGCAGGCCGCCGCAGGCAGCAGCAAGCATCAGTAGGCAGCAGCAGACACAAGCAGATGCAGCAGCAGTAAGCGCAACGGCAGCAGTGCAGCAGCTAGCAGCACGAAAAATTGTGTTTTTCTAGGATGGCACCAATGGGTGTCAAGAACGTGGGCAAGAGCACGCAAAAGGTGCACATAGTCAGTAGCTAGCAGCCAGCGCCAGTAGCAGCCAGCAGCCAGTAGCCAGCAGCCTACCAAAAATCTAGATTTTTCTAGGATTTCAGACGACACGTTAGGCACTTTTTTGGCGTGGTTCTGGCACGAGGTAATTTTTTCGAACCTGTTTTACTGCTAGCAGCCGCCAGCAACAGAATCTATCGAAAAATTGTGTTTTTCTAGGGTGTCAGACGACACGTTAGGCACTTCTATATATCTTGTATATATTTCTATAGGGTTTCAGACGTCACGTTTGGCAGTTTTCTCGTTTATATAGCACCAATGGGTGTCAAGAACGTGGGCAAGAGCACGCAAAAGGTGCACATAGCCAGTAGCTAGCAGCCAGCGCCAGTAGCAGCCAACAGCCAGTAGCCAGCAGCCTACCAAAAATCTAGCTTTTTCTAGGATTTCAGACGACACGTTAGGCACTTTTTTGGCGTGGTTCTGGCACTCGCTCGTCCTTCAGAGCCCTGGTGTTTTCCCCCGGGAGGTGATTTTTTCGAAACTGTTTTACTGCTAGCAGCCTCCAGCAGCAGAATCTGTCGAAAAATTGTGTTTTTCTAGGATGTCAGACGACACGTTAGGCACTTCTATATATCTTTCTTGTATATATTTCTATATGGTTTCAGACGTCACGTTTGGCAATTTTCTCATTTATATGGCACCAATGGGTGTCAAGAACATCGGCAAGAGCACGCAAAAGGGCAGCAGCAGCAGCAGCAGCAGCAGCAGCAGCAGTTGTTTCTTGCTTTGGAAGCTCTTTGATCGCAGCAGCACGACAGCAGCACCACAGCAGCAGCAGCTACCAGCAGCAGCACCAGCAGCAGGCAGCAGGCCGCCGCAGGCAGCAGCAGGCAGCAGCAAGCATCAGTAGGCAGCAGCAGACACAAGCAGACGCAGCAGCAGTAAGCGCAACGGCAGCAGCAAGATTCTATTTTAATTTTATTTTATAGCAGCAACAGCAACAGCAACAGCAACAGCAACAACAGCAACAACAACAACAACAACAAACAACAACAACAAACAACAACAACAAACAACAACAACAAACAACAACAACAAACAACAACAACAACAACAACAACAACAACAACAACAACAACAACAACAACAACAACAACAACAACAACAACAACAACAACAACAACAACCACACAACAACAACAACACAACCAACATTCTTGCAGCCTGGAGTACCAAGAACACAAAGTAAAGCTGCCACGAAGCAGCAAGTTGTTCTGGCTTTGGACAAGCTGTTGGATTGCGCAACACCAGCAGCATGCAGGGTTGTGTTTCGCAAAGGGGCTGGATGTTGGTTTCTTGCTTTGAGGCTGTTTGATTGCAGCA